TTATTTCTGTTCTGTTAATGGCGGTAGACATTTGATTAACTACTGAAATTTGGACATGAAGGGGATCCAAGGTGGGTTGTCAAGTAAATCACACAGCTAAATCTCCATTACATCTCCACTGTTTCTCTGTTTCCAGATTTCTGGTAGACTGGAAGCTGTGTGCCTTCACAGCCAGAGCAGAAGAGGCTCTAATTATATCCAGAATAATTGGAAGAAAATATGCATTACAATAGCCCATCAATAAAACTCCTGAAGCAGAGTGGCTTATCAATATCAGGAAGGATTGAAAGAAAATCTCTCTTCCACCAACATATTATAGATTAGTAAATAAACTAAAAAGGGAAGTTAAGAGATTTATATCATCTCTAAATATTTACAAAATTCTTAATTTATGCACAACCATAGTAGAGAACAGGGACTTCTCTATATACATTCATAGCTAGAGCTGCACGTAAACACTTCCAAATTTCTTCGTAGCAATTAGTATGTTATAATATCCAACTGTAAAAGATAGCAAGCATTTAAGTTGTGAGTTAATTTATTGTAAGCCAAAATGTGAGAAAACATTCATTGAAATACAATGATATATTTCATTTCCTGACTAACTTCTCTATATCTAGGTCATAAAAGAAGAAAGGCAACTTTCTTCTACATGGTTTAAACAGAATCAGATGTAATATCTATCTGTAAAGTAACTATAAAGAACATCTAGTATTAGAAATGATTGTGAGACCCCAACTAAATACATTTCTGAAGGCCTAAAGCTAGAGATTTATGATCTGGAACTCAAACTTAAGTCTCCTCATTCTTAGTTCAGTGCTCATTTTTCCATATACTAAAAATATTTGAAAGTTTCTACACTTAATCATTGTTGGTACTCAAAAAGAGACACAATAAATCCTGGAAAATGAAAAATGAAAAATAAGGAAAATGGTTGATTATACAAATGAAAAACCAGGGATGTGATGGAACTATAATGGTAAAATGTGATGCTTTGTGAGACAATCCCACATAGGAAGTTCTTAGTTCAAGTCTGGAGACTTTCCCGAGTACTGCAGGCATGTGCTTGCCACGACCTGGGGCTGGCTGAAGGCTGGGGGTGGACTGTGTTGTAAGGACCCTGTTGGGGGTGCTGTCTCTTTCTCTGTCTCTCTCTCTCTCTTGCTTATGGAAGAAAAATGAACTTAAAGAACCAAGCAAGCAACACAATTATGGAAATGAAAATTAGTTCACTAACTGTCATAAACTGAAAAAAAATGAGGGAAGGATTCTCATTCATTTAATACCCGTATTTTTAAAAAGACCTTAGACCAAGGTCCATACTAGATTTTGCTGAGCTCAAGAAAGTTAAAAGATTGAAAGTGGAGACACACAGTTAAGAGTTAAATTTATTGGACAAAGCAGTCATCCTGAGATGACGAAATAGGTTTGTCTTTGTTGACTGAAAAATGGTCTAGCCATGAGCTGATAATTGTTTACACAGAAGTCACCAGAGAAGTGTAAACACAAACTCCAACAGTTCATTGCATTATGCTATACACTTTTTGAAAGTTCAAAGCCAAAATATTGCTATTTAGGATTATCTATTTATATAAAGATGTTACTCTTGTAATTGTTGCTTGAAGGAAAGACCTGGTGATTATCACTAGCGGAAAAATGCACAGATGATCCACTTTATAGTGCATCATCTCTGCTTTTCTTATTAAAGGGTAGAGTTACTCAGATGTAACTGTTTTTTGGCCGTTTTATGTGAAATCCAATATGAAACAAATGTAAATATACTGAAGTCAAATACATTTAAAAAGTGAGAAATATGGGTAAGAAAGCCATTTTATAAAAGTTATGCCATTATCAGGCATAATTACATATTCCATCCTATAATTTCATAAATCAAAGCTTTCAACTGTCTGGACTCATATGTGACTGTATTCTTCCCCATATGCCTTCTTTCTTCTTCCAGGGGTTGTTCAATCACAGCAGGTATGTTTCTGCCATGAAGTTCACAGTGTTCTAGAAACTGAACACATTCTTGAATCACACTATCACGAAGCACTATCATATGTTTTGACATGTTTTCTAACAAGGACAGGAAACATCTTTTAGCATAGTACCAGGTATCAGTTCCCAGTTTTTTATTGTAAGGTTCCAAGCTTTTGATAACTCGAGAAATACCAAAGTCATAATTTCCCTTGGCACAATAAAGTGTTCCTATCACCAAATTCACAATGCAGAGGTGATAGATTTTCTTATCGGGGTCATCATAGGACAACTGCTCTTCCTCCTTTTCAATCTTCCTCATCAGCTCCTCTGCTTCTTCATTTTGGCTTGTCATAATATAGGAGACACACAAGTTAGCTAAGACAATGGCGCTGACACTCAGAATGTTGTCATAATGTTTCTTTACTATGGGTTCATAAAATCCAATGGCTTCTTTGTACTTGTTTTCCTGCATGAATAGAACATGAGCCACATTCAGCTTCCACACATCGTGGTCATTACAGAATTCCACAGATTTGCGGAAGATCTTTTCCACCATTGAGTAATTTTCAAGGTTCCAGTAAATTTTTGCCTGTGCCATCAACACGGGAATGTACTTCTCAAGGGTATTGTCATATTCATTTACTCCCTTTATGATACCTTCATCATCTCTATTGTGTCTAGCTTCCTGTACTTGTTTGGTGAGTCTCCGGAGCTGCTCAGTCAACATCCCTGCTAAGCCATCCAGCTTAATGAAAGCCTCTTCAGGAGCTGTCTGGCAAGTGATCATTGCATCCAAAAAGTCATAAAGATACGGCGTGAGGAACTTATATGTCAAATGGGCATTTTCTGCCAGGACATCTGCAGCCAGGTCAAAATACTCATATTTACAGTAGAGCAGCAACAGGTTGCCAAAGGTCTCTGGGGGAAAGGGGTTTTGTTGTAGCAAAAACTGTAGCTTTTCAAACCCTTCTGTAGGCTTGGCATCCATGTTCATTAGCGCCTGGTTGTGCAAGGTCACAGGGTCCAACTCTTCCTCTGCTCTAGGTGGCATGTCAGTGAGGGTTTCCTGTGCTACCTCATAGTTTTTCAGTTGGTATTCTATGGCTGCCTTGAGGTTGAAAGCTTCCACCAGCGCAGTGCTGTGGAGGACTAAGGTGTTGCCCACACTTCGAACATCAATGCCCTCGGTGGTCATGCCCACACCTAGCTCTGGATGCTGGCGGATTCCACGCTCAATGATCTCAGCAATATGCTTTAGCGCAGGAGCGTAGTGCCTGTTGCTGTAACAGGCCAAAGCCAGATTGTAGGAAAGGTCAGGTTGGTAGCTGGAGGCCTTCAAGGCAGCAAAGAACTTGGCACACGCAGCTTCATACTGTCCCTCCTTGTAGAGCAGACAACCTAGGTTGACCTGGCCATCCGGCTCATTCGCACCTCCACTGTCTTCTCCCCCTTCCCCACTCAGTAGCTGCTCCACCAGGCTCCTGGCCCCTGGCAGATCGCCCTCACTGTACTTGATAGCGGCTTGCAGGCGGAGGACCCGGCTTTGGTAGGCAGGGTTGTCCAGGAGGAGGAAGGCCACCCGGGTGGCCTCTGGGTAGAGGCAGGCCTTGTACAGGGCCTGGGCCTGGTACAGGCGGTACTGCTCCAGTTCCGGGTGCAGCTGGCCCAGCTGCTCATAGCACTCTGCGGCCAGCGCGAACTCCTGCAGGCGGTAGTAGCAGTAGCCGAGCAGCGACAGGCCGGCGCGGCTCCCGTTTTTTACTGCCGGGCGCGGCGCCTGGGGCTGTGCTGCAGCTCCCCGCCCAGCAGCTGCACCGCCTCTGCGTAGCGGGAATCCCGGATGAGCCGGTACACCGCGGCGGTGAACTCCCCGTCAGGGATGTGCGTGGCGCCCAGGCCCGCCATAACCGCCTAGATGGTTGAGCGTGCTCGTTACCACGGCAACGAGACAACAGGAAGCGGAAGTTTGCGGAGTAAGTTTATGTGTGTATATATATGTTTTTGGAAGAAATAAAACAAAATTTTAAAGTGCTCCTAGAGTTACTTTGTAGTACAAGGACACCGTTCTGTAAGGAATCACTGAAGGAACCCAGAACTATATAATTCCTACTCTTCTTAATCATGTGGAAAAGTTCCTAGATCATTTATTAAAACATTCCTTCTCAGAAAATAAAAAGAAAAAAGAAAGATTCCTTCTGTTTCCTTCAAATATTAAGTAATTTTCATCAGCTGGTCAATGTTAGCAACTCAAATAATAGATTACAGGTGCTATAAATTGCTGATCATGTATTATACCCCACAGTCTTATTTTCTGATTATTTTGATAGTTTCAGTATCCAAAGTGGTCATGATACAGAGTTGTGCTGATCATACTTCATCTGGGTACTTTAGTAGCTAATTGAACCCTTCAGAAAGGAAAAAAATATATTGTTTTATTATAGCTGGAATCCCTATCTTTTAGTAGAAAGCTATTAAGGTGAACCATGAGAAATTGCTGGGATTTTTTTGGGGGGGTGGGGGTGGGGGGGTGCAAAATGTCAAAATCCTGCAATTTCATCTCATTTCTTAATACTTTCTTTTTCTGAGCCAAATAAGAGTGGAGTTCACAGTTACATTTTAAAGAATAATGGGTGTATCTGGTGGGGAAAACAAATAGTAAAGCTCTTGGAGCTCCTTTAATGCCTGGACTGAATGAATATTAGGTTCTCAGCATACTGAGAACCAGACCCCGAATCTGCAAACCCTCACCACCAAATCTACTGTGACGATTGTAGATATGAAATTAGCATTATGAATCTACCAGAGAAAGTTTTGGATCTAATGACAAACCATTCCTTCTGTAGTATGAATAGAATTTGATGGGGTCATAATGCAGAATATTTTTCCTTTTCCAAGAAGCCACAAATAGGAACATAATCATCATATTCTAATTTGCAAAACAAAGACATTAGAACTAAGGTTTTCAAAATTTTTTTTATTTCAGTGTGTGCACAAGACACACACACACACACACATGGGTGGGGTGGGAAGAAAAGAGAAAAAAGAGAAGAGGAGATAAGCACTTTTGCAGGGTCTTAGTCACCCAGATGCTGGCATGTGTTCAGATGAAAGAGAAATCTGAACCTGTCATTGGCCACATAGCTTTCAGCGATGCAGTCGTTTGCTACCAACTGCACCAGCAGGCTGGGTCAAAACTGAATTTTAAGACTAACTCTATTAGTAATCACTGACCTGTTAGGAAAATAATAAGATCTCAGCTTGTTTATACTTATATATTCAACTTAATAAAAAAATGGAGCAAAAGAAATCCAGGAAAAACTGTCAGTTGTTCATTGTCTCTGTTTTATGGCACCATTTTCTGTGCAGACACAGGACTTAAAACCAATTCTTGGATATTCTAAGAAAAAAATGCATTTAAAACATAAGGTTTTTTTAAAAAATGATTATTAAATAAAGCATTACATGTGTATTGGAAAGCCTCCCTGAAACATCCTAGAAGTAATGCAAAACCTATACACTGTATAATTTTAAGGATAAGTTGGAAAAAAAAAAGTCCCCCAGAAGATTATTAAAGCCCAGATGCACTACACTTTATCTGAGTTCTGGATTTGATAGTGCCTATTCCCTAGAAAAGGAATCATGTCATACAGGGTTCTCTCAAGACACAGTAAAGCACTGTAGATAACAAGGAAAGGGAGTACAGGCATTACAAACCATAAGATGTAACTTCATTTAAATTTAAATTTTTAATATACTACTTGAGAATTTTATAAATTATGAGGGTTCAAATTGGTTTTGATAATATTTCATCTGTGAGGTTTCACAAAAAAAGCTATATTTAATTATCTTAATTATAGTTTTAAGGTCTATAAACTTCAAATTATAATGAGTGTAAAGGTGAAAGAGACTTGAGATAACACAGTACCAAGTAGAGATAATGAAATCATTAAGAGAAAGTCATTATCAGCCATTACTAGATGTTCCATCCTATAATTTCATAAATCAACGCTTTCAACTGTCTGGATTCATATGTGACTGTATTCTTCCCCATATGCCTTCTTTCTTCTTCCAGGGGTTGTTCAATCACAGCAGGTATGTTTCTGCCATGAAGTTCACAGTGTTCTAGAAACTGAACACATTCTTGAATCACACTATCACGAAGCACTATCATGTGTTTTGACATGTTTTCTAACAAGGACAGGAAACATCTTTTAGCATAGTACCAGGTATCAGTTCCCAATTTTTTATTGTAAGGTTCCAAGCTTTTGATAACTCGAGAAATACCAAAGTCATAATTTCCCTTGGCACAATAAAGTGTTCCTATCACCAAATTCACAATGCAGAGGTGATAGATTTTCTTATCAGGGTCATCATAGGACAACTGCTCTTCCTCCTTTTCAATCTTCCTCATCAGCTCCTCTGCTTCTTCATTTTGGCTTGTCATAATATAGGAGACACACAAGTTAGCTAAGACAATAGCGCTGACGCTCAGAATGTTGTCATAATGCTTCTTTACTATGGGTTCATAAAATCCAATGGCTTCTTTGTACTTGTTTTCCTGCATGAATAGAACATGAGCCACATTCAGCTTCCACACATCGTGGTCATTACAGAATTCCACAGATTTGCGGAAGATCTTTTCCACCATTGAGTAATTTTCAAGGTTCCAGTAAATTTTTGCCTGTGCCATCAACACGGGAATGTACTTCTCAAGGGTATTGTCATATTCATTTACTCCCTTTATGATACCTTCATCATCTCTATTGTGTCTAGCTTCCTGTACTTGTTTGGTGAGTCTCCGGAGCTGCTCAGTCAACATCCCTGCTAAGCCATCCAGCTTAATGAAAGCCTCTTCAGGAGCTGTCTGGCAAGTGATCATTGCATCCAAAAAGTCATAAAGATACGGCGTGAGGAACTTATATGTCAAATGGGCATTTTCTGCCAGGACATCTGCAGCCAGGTCAAAATACTCATATTTACAGTAGAGCAGCAACAGGTTGCCAAAGGTCTCTGGGGGAAAGGGGTTTTGTTGTAGCAAAAACTGTAGCTTTTCAAACCCTTCTGTAGGCTTGGCATCCATGTTCATTAGTGCCTGGTTGTGCAAGGTCACAGGGTCCAACTCTTCCTCTGCTCTAGGTGGCATGTCAGTGAGGGTTTCCTGTGCTACCTCATAGTTTTTCAGTTGGTATTCTATGGCTGCCTTGAGGTTGAAAGCTTCCACCAGCGCAGTGCTGTGGAGGACTAAGGTGTTGCCCACACTTCGAACATCAATGCCCTCGGTAGCCATGCCCACACCTAGCTCTGGGTGCTGGCGAATACCATGCTCAATAATATCAGCAATATGTTTCAGAGCTGAGGCATATTGGCGACTGCTGTAATAGGCCAAAGCCAGATTGTAGGAAAGGTCAGGTTGGTAGCCTGAGGCCTGCAGGGCAGCAAAGAACTTGGCACACGCAGCTTCATACTGTCCCTCCTTGTAGAGCAGACAACCTAGGTTGACCTGGCCATCCGGCTCATTCGCACCTCCACTGTCTTCTCCCCCTTCCCCACTCAGTAGCTGCTCCACCAGGCTCCTGGCCCCTGGCAGATCGCCCTCACTGTACTTGATAGCGGCTTGCAGGCGGAGGACCCGGCTTTGGTAGGCAGGGTTGTCCAGGAGGAGGAAGGCCACCCGGGTGGCCTCTGGGTAGAGGCAGGCCTTGTACAGGGCCTGGGCCTGGTACAGGCGGTACTGCTCCAGTTCCGGGTGCAGCTGGCCCAGCTGCTCATAGCACTCTGCGGCCAGCGCGAACTCCTGCAGGCGGTAGTAGCAGTAGCCGAGCAGCGACAGGCCGGCGCGGCTCCTGGGGCTGTGCTGCAGCTCCCCGCCCAGCAGCTGCACCGCCTCTGCGTAGCGGGAATCCCGGATGAGCCGGTACACCGCGGCGGTGAACTCCCCGTCAGGGATGTGCGTGGCGCCCAGGCCCGCCATAACCGCCAAGATGGTTGAGCGTGCTCGTTACCACGGCAACGAGACAACCGGAAGCGGACGTCTCTCCAGTGTGTAATATGCGGCGTTGGAAAACGGTAGGAATAAAAAAGAATCAGTGGCGTGTATCCCGCAACGTGTGATATCATGGAAGACCGACTGAGGAGCGATGTTAATCACGGAGCCGTTCTGAACTTATTCCGTCTGTTAAGAGATGGGGACTCTAGATCCCGGCATGCACCGTTTTAGTCGCGCCTCCGTTCATCCGTTTCCGTGGTGCATGCTGGGAGACGTAGTCTCTTCGTGCCCACGGCATTTGGGCAATGAGGTTTGCTCAGTTTTTTCTGTTACTAGACAGGCTAGGGAAAATAAATAAATAACTAAATAATATATATTATATTATATATTTAATATATATAATATTATATAATTTTTAAAAAATATATATATATACATATATATATATATGTATATATATATATATAATTTTGTTTTGCCTAGTGTTCTCTTTAGCGTCATAGCGCCAGAGGGAGGTTTACAACCAAATGTTCCTTTGTGCTTTTGAGCTTTATGTACTGTGAGTCCATGCAAATAGCATTGATTCATGTTGTTTTAGTGAAAAAGTGAGATAGAAAAGGCAGGTGTTTCCTTGTAATTTCCCTGATTAGCAATGATTATTCTAAGGGATCTCCAAGGGTCCAGTTTCTAAGAACAAATAGTGCAGCGACCAAAGAGTCTTTATTTGGGGTGTTTCTAAAGGTTGTATAGCGGAAAAAGTGCTTTGAACTTTAACTAGTACTGGTAGAGGATCAGTTTTATATGTGAATTTTCCTTTTTTAAGAGCAAGAAATATATAATATATGTTGAAGTTTAAATTTGTTAATATTCATTGTGTGATCCTCCAAATTTCCCTTTCAACGAGGAATCAGTGTCCTTCATAATCTTACATGTTTTCTGAAACACCAAAGTGTGGTTCATGTAGATATTCAGGTATACATCTTTTAATTACCAAATAACATCTGAGAAATAGTTTGGTGATTTGGCATTTTGCAAATGTTATAGTATGTACTTACAGAATCCTAGATGGTACAGCCTACTACACAGGTCTTTTAGATGTTATAACTTCTGTGCTCCTTATGGGACTACCATCTTTCATGTGTTTCATCAATGTTTCAAACATCATTATACAGTGCATTATTTTATGTCTTCACTGTATCTTTAAAAACATCAATGCAAGTACTTTATATGGCCTCCTTAATAGGATTGCTACCTATAAATCTTTTCTCTATATAAATTACAGAATGAACATCAACCATATTGTGTGACTCTCTATTACAGACCATTTACATATATACTTTCTAACCTTCTTAAAACATCTGTGCAGGTTTTGGCTAAGTCACTATATCCAACAGCTAAATTCAGTAGGAAATAGTAACTGATAAATAAAGCAACTGAGTCAATATATCTCTAGTAGATAAGTTTATAAGGGCCCAGGTTTGGTGCCAAGTACTTATGATTAACCAACTAACTTACTATGGACAGTAGACATTGACCTTCTGTACCTGACTTGCAGCTGTGAACAGATGTTAGAAAGTGACTAGTGGGGCTTGTGTAGCTCCTAGTTACGTACTTTCATTGGGAGGAGACTGTAGTAGCTATATAATTGTTCATATCATAAAAAGACTGGCATTATGTTCTCATTGTATCTTTTCACTTGATGAAAATTGGCACAGTTTTGTCTTTCTGTGTGGAACCATATAAAGAATCTCCCAAGGCATCAATGCTGAAAAGGGGAAAAACTGTAGCTCTTTCAGGGGGGTTGAGTAGATCTTAGATTCACCCAATATACCCACAGAAAATGTCTGAGGAATGTGAGTATGACCCTATTTTGAGGCATCTTTCAACCTGATATCCAGGTGCTACTTTTATGGTCTTATACGAAGGAAGGTATATGAGCAGAAGGGTACTGGATAGTGCTACTCAATAATAAGGTATGGACAAGGTATGAGGAGTACATCTCCATTATAGCTGGCTGACTGACATCTGGCAGTTGGAAATTTAAGGTCAGTACTTTAAAATCCTCATGGGTAAGCTGTTAGTAAGTCAAGATAAGATGACAGAACATTGAAATAGGAAATTTCCTTTATATTTTTAGTTTTTCTTTCTGTGTGTGGTTTCTTTCTTTCTTTCCCTTTTCTTTTCTTTTCTTTTTTTTTTTTAAGAGAGATTTTGCTATGGGGCACATGTGCTCACCAGAGAGACAGAGAGACAGGAAGACAAAAAGTGAGAAATCACCCCCGAGAGGTGCTGCAATCCCTTCTCTACTTCTCTGTTCTTCTTTTGGGATTTTGGGCATGCATGCACACACATGCACTCAGAGTGAATTTTTTTTTTAAAGAGATTTTTGCTATAGGGCACATGCACTTGACAGAGAGACACACAGAGAGAGACAGAAAACAAGAAATCACCTCCTGGGGGCATGGCCACACCACAGTCCCTTCTCCTTCATTATCTTCTTGGGATTTTGGGCACGCATGCCCACACACTTGGTATGAGTTTTAAGCTGCCAGGTCTCAAACAGTGGTCAACTATGTGGGAGTCCAGCAATGTAACCATTACACCATCTTCTGGTCCCAGTTTTTCTGTTTTGCAGAGTTGAATTTACACCATTAAGAACGTTCTCTTTCAGTTGGCTTCTTGCAAGTGTGTGAAACATAAAAAAAGGCTACCTGCTTTTCCCCAATTTCTCCAATCGTTTTGAGCATCATCAGTTGGAGTTCTCTTCATTGTGCTGATATCTATTTGTATTTTCTTCATTGTATTGATATCTGTTTGTGAGTGTGTCAGCTTAAGTGGGCAGAAATGTGGTCATTCTGTGTCTTCCTCCTTATTTCATGTGATGTAGCTTCAGAGGCCTGGCTTGAACAAAGCAGGACATTCGGCTTAGACAGATGGAGGGCAGGGTCATTTTCAAAATGAAATGAGTGTACAAATCACACTGTGAAATTGGCATGACCATTACTGCTGCTGTGATAGATTGACTTTTATTTGGTCTCTGATGGGTAGTTGGGGAATAGGTTAGTTTTTTTTTTGTTTTTTTTTTAGTTTTTTTAGTTTTTTTTTTTTTGGCGGGAGGATTGAAAGAAGCGCTTTTAATTAATGATATAAATTCTGGAAAGCAGTAAACTGGGTAGAATATTATAAAATGTCATAAAGGATTATTTTGTCTGCAATAGAATCTTCAAAAGCTGGAACAAATGTCAAAAGTAAGTGTATCATACCATTCCAAGCAATAGGAGGGCATTTGGTGCTTGTCATGAAGTAATTTAGTAACTTGTAGAAAGGAATTAGGGTTTGAAAATGCTGTTGGACTCAGGATGGATTTTACTGTATAAAAGGAGACATATTTATCATGTAGAAGAGTTCCATTTTGTCAAACTGTATAAGAGCTATTCGGTTGTCAGAAAAGTCATGACTTTCCACATGTTTTTCTATGCAAAAAATGTGTCATGACTTTTCCAACAACCCAGAAAAAGCAAGGTGTTTGGTCCTTAAGATGTGTATGTTCTGTCTGCCAAAACATGAAATAATCAAATCCCATATTTTATTTGTATGTATAATCTACCTGGTAGTGCCTTTTAAAAGTGGTTAGAAGTCATGTCTTCTTATTTATCCTGTAAATGTGACCAGTTCTGTTGGTAAACATCCCTAACCTATGAGTACTTCAACCACAGCCACGATCAAACTTCCTTGATTAAGGAAGATCACCTCCAAAATCTCTTTCCACTTGTTATTTCTTTTTCCTTTTGGTTTCAGGTCATCTTTCTTTAGAGTGGCCAATTTGAGAGGTTCATTTACTTTGCATTTCCATTTCCTCACTTCTACCCCCCATTATGAACAGGGAAGAAAAGAGTAAATGGGTGCCAACTTAGTAATGTACTTGACTAATTTTTAGGAGCATCTGTTCAACCTTGTAAGACTTTTGGAAGGACTATATGTTCAATCAACACTTGGGAACATTTATGCTCAGATGGTGAGACATTTAATCTCATATGAACTCTCTTTTGCTGGTAGTTCCTGCTTTATTCATATTTTAATTCAGTACCCTTTTTGAATATACCTTGCTTTTGATCAAGAAGCTTGTATTTTTGGGCTTACGATGTTATTGTTTAAATTAACTTAACAAGGAGGGCAGAATAACATTATGGTTTATAAAAGCAATTAGCAGAGTCAGCAAAACTGTATACTGGCATTTAAAAAAAAAAAAGTCAAGCAACTATTCAAACAAAGAGCTATTCTGAGCCCTTGTGTTTATGTAGTACTTTCAGTATCAAGTTTGCCTTGCCTAACTTCCCTCATTAATCCTCACAGCCTCTGTGTGAATAAGGTGATTCTTAATGTTGGACCCACTGTAAAACTGCAGGCTGCAGAGCACAAAGAAGCCGGAAGTTGCCACAGCCCGTACTGGTGATTGCCTAAGCTGGCCAGCAGTGGGCCACACTGCACCTCTTCTCTCTCTCTCCCTGGGCACCTCCTCTCCAGTCATTTGAATTGGCTTTGGATCATTTGCTGCAGTTTGTTCTAATAGAACAGGCACAATGGTGTAAGAATTTTAAAGTTAAAGCACCGAAGCCGTTGTGTAATTGTATGGCGTCAGTGTGGCTAGCGGCCCTGCATTGATGCAATCCCCTGTGTAATTGCCCATGCAAATTTGAGCAATCTGTAACGGACACAGGAACCCAGCACTGGGCCACAGACTCTCCTATCTCCACAAAAACTTTAATAATTTATTGAACCTTTTGCTTTTGTTTAAAAATGCTGTATGGTTAGGGCTGTCCCAGAATCCCTCTCACGCTGGCATGCATCACAGTTTTTAAAGGGCTAAATGAACAATGTTTTAATAGTAGGTATTCAAATGCATGCTTTCTTCTTTCTTTTCCCCTAAATCACCCATCTGAAAAGAAATAAAGATTGTTTGAGGGCTTTAGTTACACATTAAGCATTTTATTAAAAACAAAGATATTTAGGCCTCTTAAAGCAGATTTGTTTCAAAATCATGGGTTAGTTGCTGGTGAAATGGCCAAGTAGTCTAAAGTATGGTTATCTGATTATGAAACACCAGTCAGGGAAATCTACACAGAAGGAATGACTTAAGACAACTCAATTGAAGCTATATTTCCCTTCTTTCATGTAAAACGATAATAATTAGGAAGCAAGTCAGTAGGGGATCCTTTTTAGATTATTATACATCAAAATAAAATGGCAAAAGCAATTTCCCTCTAGGGAATGAGACAACCAAATGCAGCCTATTTCTACATTATGCTTTTTTTTTAATACAGATAAACATGACTTAAGTCTAAGTTACAATAAAAAAATGAGATTTAAATATCACACATGTACACATGGAAAATGATCACACATAAGTGATGGCTTCAAATAACACATTTTCACAGCAAATACTTCAGTTACTTAATAAAACAAACATATTTCTGTACCAGTGTATACATTCAATGACATTGGTGTAGATATGCTACACAGCTAAACAGCTTATCTTTAGCACTCCTGAGAGAGATACCAAACATGCAAGAACATTCAAGATTAAATTTAAAAAAAAGATTTACAACCCCAAATTGCTAGTCGAGGAAAAGGTAGTGACACAATATAACAATGTAAGCATGACATCAGGCATTGCTAAATCTAAATGATCATCATGAAACTAATTCTTCAGGCATACCTCATTTTATTTCTGCCATCTAAGTGTTCACATAGGAAGTTTATGAAATTTTGGCCTCTGTAGCTAGACCTAACCTTTACATTTCTTTGATATATGGAGTTTGGAGAGCTCTTTACAGCATATGGCAGAATAACCATTTCAGGGACTGTTATTTTGAGAAAGATAATGATATTTTATGACAGAGGCATTGCTAGAGTTTTTAAGGTCCTATATTAAGTTTTATTCTGCTGCTTTAATGAATCTTTTATGCATTTGTTTTTTTCTTTTATCCAAATATTTTTCTTTAGATTTAATAATTCCCCTTCTATATTTAGACATGTTGCACTTGAAAGAAATTGTTTCACATTATTACTGGAGATGAAAGTGTTTCTCGTCTTTCTTTGATTCATAATAGTCAGTAGAGAAATGGATTTTAAAATAATTATACCTCAAAATAAATTGAGCAGCCTGTTCAATGACCTAAGATAAGTGGATAAAGTATGATCAATTTTGATACACAGAAAAAGCAACTGAATTCTTGTAGATTAATATTAGATAATATTGTTATTACACTAACACAAAATTTTAAAGATCATTTCTAACCCAGCATTTTTGCAAATATGAACTGCCTGTAAATACATAGATATCTCAGACTTTAGAAACAGAAAATGCATGTGCAATTTTAACTTCTCTTGATTTACTTTATAAATTTATTTCTAAATCAGTGACTACCATTTATGGGATATCTATGACATGAGACAATCTAAAATCATTCCTTATGAAATAAAAGGATATATTTTTTAAAAATTGTATTGATGACCATATCTTTCACAATCACAGAGGCAGACTCAGGGACATCTGTAGTGAGATTATTTTTATATTTACCCCATGTATACAACTTTTTGTTTTGTCTTTAATGAGAAAAATGACCTCTTTAGGTTTGTTCCTTTATTACTTGAGAAGAGTAAATAAGAATTATTTTTTAAAAAATTTAAGAAGCAAGACACAACTTGGTCTTTTGGTGAGTGAATTGAATAAAAGTCAGTGCTTTTATGTAACAGATGGAAAATCCAAGACTGGAGAATCTCAAGAGTACAGGTCCAGTCAGTGGCCAAGCTAGAATAGAGGGCAGGTCTACTATACACTGGATGAATCCCCTTACCGTATGTCAAGTTGTTCCTACTCATCAGGATTGCTGGCTACATTGTAGGCTATGCATGTATTGTCTACTAAGAATAAATATCATATCTGAAAAAGATCCACCTCACAGAAAAGATGGAGTCAATTCAGCTATTAATGCCAAGAGACCTGAAGAACCAAATGTAGTCTGGTCAAAGGTATGATGATAAGGTTTGTATTTCAAATACCTTCTTCCAATAGGAAATACACAGGAATAATAAGGACTAGAAGAATTTCTTTCTCTATTTTCGAAGAGGAGAACGTATAAATGACTACACATACTTCACATTTCTTGTAAAATTATAAATTATTGAGAAAAGGGATTAAAAGTACCTCAAACTCTCAAGAATTCAACCTCTGACCCCTGGGGTTGTTGGTACCAGGAAGGCTCCTATTCTCCTTCCACGGCTTCATGGTCATGAGGAACAGACCCAGGCATTAGTCAGCAGTTTCTGAATTTTGACCCACAATAGGAAAGATACCCCGAGACAGGAGAAATAGATGGAGGCAATTACAAACAGCCATTTGATTGATGGTTGACATTGTCAGGGCTCCACTATATGGCAGATTGCAATGATGTTGAACTCCCCTTGCTACCAGTGGATGTTGCTATTGGCAACCGTGCAGTGAAGCCAATAAAAACGCAAGAAAACGTGAGGAAAACTCAACCTTAGTGGAAGCCGTAGGGTTTGTGCTATAAATTATGTTTCCCATAGCAATATGCAACATCAATGTTCAGAGTAGCTACTGTGCTTGTAGCTGCCTGCAGTCTCTGTCAGACCCTGGGTCTAGCTTTATTAAAAATCATGTGCTTTAAAAATTTGCTCTAGGTAGACTGGCATCTGTTTGTCTGGGTTATTTATTTTTTTATTGTTGGAGAGGATAACAGATGTGGACTCGTCTCTGCCTCACATGGACTAATTTCCAATTCCCGTTTGGGATATAAACGTGATGTGGCACAATACTCAGAAACACCTGCAGTGCTTCTGAGCTGCAGACACATGATAATCTCGCAGTCGAGGGTTTGTCTCTAACTCCACCCATCTTTTGTTTCTCACCTGAAGGAGGGGAGAAGCTATTTTCCTTTATAGCAGAGTGATTCAGAAAACTGGCTTAATAAAATCCATAAATCTAAACAACCTCCTCTTACCTGCTCTGCGGAGGCAATTTTTCCTCCACTCATTTTCTCCTCCAGTTTCTCCAGTCTTCCCTGCAGAGACAGCTGTAAACGGTAGCTAAGAACATTATTTTTTAAGGCTCCTGCTCTTTCCTTCTCTCCTTTGTCAAACCCCTCCATGCTCAAGTGTCTCTCTTTTCTAAGCAATTGATGACAGGATTCTATACTCTCATCTTTTTTTATTTTTTTGGTTGGAAGGATCATTTTTCTTTGTTTGTCTTGACTTTCACCTTTCCTTTAACAATTCTCTTAACCACCTGCCTCGGTCCCTGTCTTTTCTTTATCACACTTCTTCTTTTTTTTTTTTTTTTTTCTTCCTTTCTCCTTTTACGTGCCTAGTGTGTAATTTTCTTTTACCTTCTTCTTTCCATAAGAAAATCTTAGTTCTTCTCAGCAATGATCTGCTCTTCCCTTAATTCCATTTTGACACCTTGATTTTACCCATTTACTTCTTCAAACACTTTCTGAGTGTCTACCATGTGCCAGAAAAACAATATCCCTTGTGGAACTTGGCTGCTATTTGAGTAGTCAATAACTGATAGTGATCAGTAGTAACAATAAGAATACAAACAGCTTGTAAATTTTAGATTTTTTTAGAGCATAGAGCAGGAATGGACCTCAGGTTTTACCTAGTCCAAGGATTGTCAAACTCCTCAGAATCCTTTTGTGGACCACCATGTATGTAATTAAAAAGATGAAAATGTGTGGGGGCTCTGGATCTCAAGCCCTGCTTCAAACAGAGGACTTGAGCTTTTAGATGTTTTCTTTCTTGGGGATTCTTTGAAAGGTTTATTTGAATGAAGAACTCTAAGGTTAAAACATGTTTGAGCATCATCTACTTGCATAATCTCATTTCATGTGAGAAACTAAGCTCAGAGATGGATGACTTGTCCAAAGTCATCCAGTTGATTGTGTCAAAGGTAGAGATAGAAGTCTTATCTTCTCGGTCAGCATTCTTTGGATAAAATAGGCCATGTCATCAATCTCTCAGGTAAAATGGGAAGCACAGTAGCTTTCTAGTTATTGTATCTATAGACAGATTTCTAGTCATTGTATCTATAGACTACAGTTTATTCTTATGTGACTTCCTATAGAATATGTGTTCTCTGCCCAGGCTGTTTTTTCTTTTGGACAGATTCTCACTATGTTGTGAGTCTCTGGCTGAGTAGCTGGGACTTCAGGTTCATGTCACCACACATGGCTTTTAGGGTGGGAAAAGAGTTGAACCTGTGCCTCTCATGTGGCCTCAGACTTCTGTGTAGCAGCATCAGCCAGCACGTACTATTACAGCTGCATCCCAGACTCTTACTTCTTAATCTTAAAGCATTATTTCTTATACCTAAGGAAAATTTCAAATGGAGGACCTATACGTTTGGCTTTAAGTTAGTTACTGGTAGAACCTTAGATTTTATACCAAAACTCAGGGTAATAAATGCTCAGTCTTCATGGCGCTGCTGTGTCCCGTGAAATCTCTTCCATTGTCGAAAATGGTTTCTAGATGTTCTTCTGTCACCTGTGGTAAATCCAACTATAGATTTCCTTTCATTCTTACTTTAATTAAAGTCTATTAATCCATTCCTTCTGGGAGAAGGCTTGGTCTCTAATGAAGGCTGAATTAGAAAATCTCTGAAAAAGGGGACCAGAATCCAAGTGTAGAATTATAAATCCTGTATCAATATCAATCGGATAAACACATTTGCTGTATTTCTACTATGGGCATTTTTGAAAGAAAATTGGCATTAGTTGGTATTTATAGTATAGTTTATCTTTTAGGTAGGCAATTCTAAAGGTTCTTATCCATCATTAAAAAGCATTAGAATTAAAAATAAAATACTTCTATAGGATACAAATCAGGATTCTTGGGACAGTCTGGCACAAAAGGGGGCTTGTGGAAAAGACGCAAAGGCAGGTAGTGTTAGGTTTATAACAAATAGAAGAGCCACTTATAAAACGAAGCAGTGCTAATGATGCTTTCACTGTTCAGTGTTCTCTCAGCTCAGATGGAGCAGGCCTGATTGTCCTCAGATCCTTGAATCCCAGACAGTCTTCTGCCCCGTCGTCATCTCAGCCTGTGTGTGTTCATCGGGAGAGCTGAGGTTCTTGGGTACACCCCTGGCCCCACCTCCTCCTTTATCCTTCCTGTCTCTCTCTCTGCAGCTGACTACATTTCAAGGTGAAAGCCCAGGTATGCTCCTCAAGTGCATCCCTGAGACTTTACATCTTTCGGAGCTAAAAGAACTAAAGGATGATGTGGCTGGACCAAAGCTGGCCCTTCAGGCAGCATTTTGTAGTAGCAGCTGACTAGAAGGTTTAGTTTCTGTTCTCCTTGGCCACCAGGAGGCTGGTAGGGGAGGGAGAGGCAGCCGAGATGGACAGCCTTTTTTGGTGCAATTCTTCCCACTTACTTCTGTTTGCAGCCACTGAATCTAGCATTGGCTTCAGTTTCACATTGACCTTCACCAATGCCTAAAATGAAACAAAAACAGGTAGGGGAGGAGAGGAACCAGAGTCACTGATAAGATTTTCTATCTTTCATTACTGAGGAGAATGGGAATTGGATATCAGAATGAAATAATGTTTATTTTGGTAAACATGAGCTATTTACAGGAAATATACATTTAACACCGGTACGTTGTATTGGTAGAACCTTCACAGAGAAAGAACTAATGTGACAGGATGGCTGTATATAATTCCAGGGAGCACCAGCCACTTAGACTCTCATCCTGTTTTATACCACATCAAGCAAGACGGGAAACAAGGTTTTCAGTTCACGTATGTCTACTAATCTGTGTATCTTTGCCTGTCACAGAGGATTCCAGACCTCAATAGACTTCTGTGAACTAGAAATTTTATTATTTTATTTCTTGGTTTTGCTAAAGGGCATGTGTGATTGCCAGAGAGAGACAAAGGCAGAAAGAGTGAGAGAGAGACATAGAGAGAGAGAGGGAAAGCGAGAAGTCACCCATGACCCTGCCGCTTCCCCCATCCCCCAGGAGGATGGCCATGCCACATTCTCTTCTCCTCCATTCTCCTCTCAGGATCCTGGGCATGCACACACAGGCACCTGGTGTGATTCTCAAAACGCCAGATCCAGAACTCCAACTGGCGCAGCTGGTCATGTGGGATCCAGTGCCTTAATCACCATACCAACTGCTGACCCTGAACTAAAATTTTTGCAAACATAAACCTATAACAATCGCACCATAGATGACACTAGGTGAAGTTACCTGAGTATGAAAGGCTAGTAAGAGCCTAAAACAAGAGGAAATGCTTATGTCTAAAGATAAATATCTGGGAGAGAGCTAAATATACCCATCAGCTTGGAAACCCATATAGAAATAGCATAGAAAGGAAAAGGAGTGTGAAAGAGGGTGACAGAGGGGTATAGGAGAAATGAGGAAAGAGGAAATGTAGGGTGTGACCAGAGGCAGATCATTCCCACTTTCACCATACCCTTCTATAATAAATATTTCCTTTGTACCTAATTTTGTGTTAATTTCTTTTACAAAGTAGTCATTCTCCCAAATGTTGTAAGATTGAGCTTCTGGTTAAACAAAACCTGGATTGCCCTGGTAGTAGAATGAAAGCCCTGAAATTAAGATGGCTCATTTGATTTTAATGTAGTGAGTGTTGATATCAGAGAGCTCCTCAGGAATAGGGAGTGGAGTGGGGCCTGAGGATCTTGCCTCTAAATTGGGGCTAGAACACATTCAAGAAGCTCAGGTTACATAGCAGTAGTAGGGCTGGCCCAGTAGCATAGCAGTTAAATGTCATGCATAGAAAGCTGAATACCACATGGCTGACTGTGGTTGTATCCCTGGCTCCAGTGGCTTGAGAAGCATGTTGAGTATGCATGCATGTGTGCCCCAGAACTTGAAGGGATGGAAATATGAAGCAAAAAGGATAATGGCATGATCATCCTTGGGTCTCTCTCTCTTGCACTCTCTCTCTCTCTCTGGCAGGTGCACATGCCCATTGGCAATAAAATAAAAATAAAAATGTAGCTTTCATTAAAAAAAAAAATAGTAGAGACCAGCAGATGGTGTAATGGTTACGTCGCAGAACTCCCACTTGACTCTGACTATGGTTCGTGTCCTAGACCTGGAGGTTTGTAACTCATGCTGGGCAGGTGCACATATATGCCCTAAATCTCAAGAGGAGAATGGAGCTTCTGAGAAGGGATTGTAGTGTGGCCATAGTCCCTTGGGGCTGATTTCCTGCTTTCTGTCTCTTTGTTTCTCTGCCAAGTGCATGTTCCCTATGGCAAAACTCTCCCTTAAAAAAGAAAAAAAGAGCAATAAGTAAATATCTTAGAGGCTGGAAGGGCACAGTGTTTATTCTGTCCAACAGGGAAATTCTATTTTTTTTATGCTTCACTAATTTTTTTAGGTAAAAGATGAATTTAGAAGTTTATATCATTCTCTTTCTTTCTTTTAAACACATGGATATCTTTATTTTATTTATTTTAAATTCTTTTAACTATGAAGTCTTCAAAATATCTAACCAGTAAAATATTACCAGCAAACATATTTTTTAAGCATCTATATACTAATAATTATGAATAATGTGTGTCAGTAAAGCTACCTATGTAAAATATATATAACAAAGGGTTTGGGAAACTTTATTTTCTGGACAGCTCCATAAAATATAAAATAAGATTTTGATGACATTTAATCTTGGGGCCAGCTGCTAGGATAGTGGTTAAAGCAGCTGAATACCACATAGTTGACTGCACAGTTTGAGTCCCAGACCTGGCAGCTTAAAAAGCATGTCAGAAACATATGTGTGTGTACCCAAAAACCCAAGAGGAGAACGGAGGAAAAGGGATTATGGCATGGCCATCCCCCGTAGGGGGTGCTTTTTCACTTTCCCTCTCTGTCTGTCTCTCTTTCACCAGTGCAGATGCCATATAGCAAGGTTATAAATAAGTCTTCTAAAAAATGGTTTTGTACTTATTTAATATTTTTCTTAAGTAATATACATTAATTTTAGAAAATATGGAAACATTAAGTTAAAAATAGATAGGAAATAGAGATGATTTCTATTTAAAAAATAATCTAACTCAAGACATAACCACTTCTAACTTTTGGGTTTTACCTTAAATGGGATCTTTTGATTACGTTCCTAACATTAAATTATTCAAATATCTAAAATGTATTTACATGGTGATATTTTTATAGTAGCAGCTCACAAATGGACAGAATCTAATGAGAACATATGGATTTATTTTTAGAGAGATTTTTGCTATAGGTTGTGTGCACTTGCCAGAGAGACAGAGAAAGACAGAGAGACAGAAAATGAGAAATCACCTTCCAGGGGGATGACCATGCCACAATTCCTTCTCCTCCATTCTCCTCTTGGGATCATGGACATGCATGCACATGCACCCAACTTGGGTTTCAAGCCTCCAGGTCCAGGCCTCTAATCACACTCAGGAACGTGAGAGTCCAGTGCCTCAACCACTATGCCACCTGCGGCCCCGAGAACATATGGATTTTTAAGCATTTGTACATTTTGGGCCTGTTTTCCATCTCTGGAGTCTCAAAGAAATATAAAAACCTGACATGCCCACACGGGGATTCCATTTATAAATACTTACTATATGTTAAATATCTTGTCAGTTGCTAACATGCTTCATTGCAGTTATTCCTCACAATGACTTTATTTTACATGTGACAAAACATAACCTTCACATGTTGGGATCATGAAAGATCTTTAGTTCTTCAACTCTAAGAGGAAAATAATAATCCATAAGGAAGTTAAGTGTTCATATTGTAAGGTAACCATTTGTTTTGGAAGTTACGAAGAAAACCACAGTTTTGATCAAATGAAAATCAAGGATAGAGCACTAGCCTGCCATATAGAATGAGGATGTAGAGAAAGCTATTGAGGATGTAGCATAAAAAGTTAGCTCAAGAAGAAACACACGAAAATAATAAGGTACACATCTTAAAATTGTGTGGTTTCAACCTTTGTCAATAATAAATTTAAATGTGCTAATAATTTTTTTTTTATAAGTTCTTCAAGTCTGTGATGGTAAGGAAGAGACTAAAGACTTGAAGTTCTGAGGACAGTTTGAGTGGGATTATTATTGTCATCAAATTAGAGTAAGGCTTGACACCAGAAATGAATGAACAAATACCCTTCCTCTCTTCCTTCTTTCTTTCTTTACTTCCTTCCTTCCTCATCTTGAATATGTATAGAACACTCATGAATTCTGACATTGTTCTTTGAATGGAATTTTTATGTCATTTGGGGCCTTCCTGGCCCTTGAGATTTAGGTAGAACTTGACCTCAAATCTGTTGCATGCTCTGGGGACCCTTCAAACAATACCCTCTCCCCCTGGCCCCATGATTTCCAAGTCTTACTTCCTTGTATTCCTTGGTTCCCTTTTTGAGTCCATTTGGTTTCTTGACTCCACTCTGTATCACTCCCAATGTTTCACTTCATTTCCTCTTTTTGCAGATACCCAATCACCCACAACATTTATTTTTAAAGTTTATTTTTATTCATGATAGAGAACATATAATGCACACAATGGAGAGAGAAAAAGAATGCAAAGCACTCTTGATAAAGCATTGTCATGAAATGATCCTTTTTTCTAGTCTTTTAGCTTGACAAGGTCTTAGTTGGGCGCATGTGCATGTATATGGCATATTTTAGGTCAGTTAGCCCAAGGTTCTAAACCTGTGGTCAGCCACGTGGCTTCCAGACTACAATAAGGAGGATAGGCCCACCCTCAGCATTTTGTATGCCTACTGACTTCTGAACATTAGAGGTTGTCATAGGGAGGGTGCCTTAACTACCGATTAAGGCACTTTCCTACATGCTCCTCATCATCTCAAAGGCCACCATCTTTCACCTTAAGGCAGGGATCCTTGACCCCTAGACCATGGACCAGGACTGGTTCATGGCCTGTTAGGAACTAGGGCTATAGAGCAGGAGGTGAGTGGTGGGCAAATGAATGCGTGAAGGTTCATTGTATTTATAGCCACTCCCCATTGTTTGCCTGAGCTCTAACTCCTGTCTGATCAGCAGTGGCATTAGATTCTCATAGGAGTGTGAGCCCTATGGTGAACTGTACATGCAAGGGATCTAGGCTTCATACTCTTTATGAAAGTCTAATGCCTGATGATTTAAGGTCGAGCTGAGGTGGTCATGCTAGTGCTGAAGAGTGGCTGCAAATACTCCATTATGGTAGGTTGTATAATTGCTTCATTTTATATTGCAATGTAATAATAATAGAAATAAAGTGCACAGTAAATATGATGCACTCCAGTCATCCCCAAACTACCCCACCCCCCTCCTGTGAAAAATTTGTCTTTTGCAAAACGAGTCCCTGGTGCCAAAAAGGTTAGAGATTGGTGCCCTAAGGGAAGAAGAATCCAATTTTCACTCCAATCCTGTCTCACTGCTTTCATAGAGACATGCCCTGCTTGTCATTCTTTTTTCCCCAGGGTCTCTG